CTGCCAAATCTTGTTATTTAATGTGTGAATAAAGAAGCACATATGGTACTGCATCACACGTTTTTTAAATATTTTGGTAATCAAATGTCCATATAATTGGCTTTCTTTGTAATCCTATGTGTTTTACTTTTTGCATCTAAAATGTCATTATAAGAGGTGCTGTATGACCCTGGGCAGGTAGCTCAGTTGGTTCTAGTGTCATCCCAATATGCCAAGGTTCAGGGTTCAACCACCAGTCAGGGAATACACAAGAATCAACCAATGAATGCATAAATAAGTGAAAAACAAATTTATGTGTCTCTCTCTGTCAAATCAATAAATAAAAAAAATTTTTAAGAAGCTCCATAAGTTTCACCAGATTTACAAAGGAATTGCTAGCACAAAAGGTGTTTAGACACCCTGTAACCAGTCCTCCCTGTGACCATTATTAACACAATTCAGTCCACTTTCTATGTGGAAAAGCAGGGTGAGCTTTTTAAAAGGTAAATAAAATGAAGACATTCCCCTGTTTAAACTGAAACAAATGCATACTCCTAATTGTGACTGACTTGGCCCTGCAGGATCTGATTTTACCCTGCTCAGGGCTCCTACTTGGTCTTGAACTCTTCTATCACCCTGGCCCCTGCTCACTCTGCTCCAACCAGGCTAGCCCTGTTAATGCTTCTTTGAAATCTGCAAGCAGTTTCCCACCTCAGGGACCCTGTCCTTGCTGTCCGCTCTGCCTGGAATGACTGCTCTTGACGTAGCTACTTCATTCTTATGCTTCAATGATAAGCCAGGAACTCACCCCTACAAAGAAGCCTTCCTCACTAACCTATGTCAAGCTCCCTCCCCTCTCCTGCCCTGTCCTCAGTTAGTTCCTGTTCACTTCCTTCAGAGCACTTATAACAACATAATTATATTGATTTTTGTTCAGTACTAAATCCTGGTATCTAGTAAGGTACCTGGAACACGTAAATTCCTGACATTCACTGAATGAATGAATAAATGACAGAAAACATGAATGAGGAAGCTATTATTAATCCATTTTACAAGTAAGAAAATTAAGGCTCAAAGATGTTAAATTACTTGTCCAAGGTCACCCAGTGGCAAAGTTATTATTTTAACTGTGGTCCCTAGGCCACCCCCTAATCCCTTCTCCATTTTTTTCTAACTCCCTTTTCCCTGCTACATTTCAGTCAATTTGTAGAAAACAGAATATACCCAATACAACTTTCTATGATGTGATTTTGGGGGATTTTAGTGCCCATTGCTCAAGGATATCTGACTAACCCTCAATGCTACTTCCCTTAAGTATTTCCAGGAAGGGAATATATACCTAGATACGGTGATTCTTCCTGTTTCTGTCTCTTTCTACATAGCACACACATTTTTTTCATTTCTGAATCTTATAACCCTAAGTACAAACAATAAAATCATATGCAAGGAATAAAATTCAGAAAAGGGTAAACTAAGGAAGAAAAATACTAGATAAACTTGAGATAAATGCTAGTATACAAAAGTACCTGTGATGAGGGACTGTCCACAAGCCTATGAGGACCACAATTCTGGCCCTATGCTTCTTAAGAGCCAGCATAAAGTAAAAAAAAAAAAAAAACCACAATCAGTTACATGACACATTCTGATGATTTAAAAATTCAATCAGCCCTGGCTGGTGTAGCTCAGTGGATTGAGCGCGGGCCTGCGAACCTCACAATCTCGGTTCAATTGCCAGTCAGGGCACATGCCTAGATTGCAGGACAGTTCCTGGCAGGGGACTCACAAGAGGCAACCATACATTGATATTTCTCTCCCTCTCTCTTTCCCTTCCCCTCTAAAGATGAATAAATAAAATTTTAAAAAATTCAATCAACTTCCAGGAGGAGCACAACTATCCTGTTTCTAAATCCTGAGAGAAATTTCTCTTGTGGATCCTCATAATGAAAGCATGGTAAGACAAAGTAATCATTATTCTAAACTACAACCTCGTAAATAAATATATTAAGCTTAATAGAATGGTGTCCCATAGCATCCCTTAACAGACATGGCTAGTATAATGCCAAAATCTATGTAGCTATCCAAAGCATGGTCCCTGACTGCTAGCATTAGCATCACTTGGGCACTTGTTAGAAATGCAGAATCTCAGGTCCAATTACATGCCTGCTGAAACAGAATTGGTATTTCATTAATGACACCTGCAGGTGATTCCAATGAACATTAAAATTGAACAAGCATTGGTCTAGTGGTTAGGCCCAATCTGAGGCAGAATTTGTAAGAAATTAGTATTTATTTATTTATTTATCCATTCAAAGAATATTTACTGAGACCCCAGCAGTAGGAAAGTTGTTTTTCTTTAACATGACAGAAAAATCACCTCCATAAAGGAACATATTGATAAATGAGACTGCATTGAAACTGAATGATAAAGCAAGCCATAGAGTAGACACTATTTGCAACACCAAATAAAAGAAAGTTGAGAAGCTAAATACAAACTAGGTACTGTCTTAATGCTGGGAATACAAGTAATGAAACAAAAACTCTACTCTTATGGAGCTTACATTCTAATTGGAGAATGCATAAATCAACAGAATAAGTAATATGAAGTAAGAAAGGGGCATAAGTCAGGGAATGGGGTTGCAGTTTTAAATAGGGTGGACAGGGAAGGCTTCATTAAGGAGGTAATGACCTGTACAAGGTCAGGGAGCTAGCTATAAAAATAGCTAAGAGAAGTCTTCCAAGCAGAAGGAACGACCTGAGACAGTAAATGACTGAAACAGCAAGGCCAGTGTGGTTGAGGCAAAGTGAGCAAGAAATATAGTCAATATGCAGGGGGCCAGGTCATGTGGAGCCTTGTCAGCCATTTTCAGTGTCTTAGCTCTAACTGTGAGTGAGATGAGAAGCCACTGGAGAAAAGGTAATAGGAAGCCACTGCAAGGTGTTGAGCAGAGAAACAACATAATGAAAAGTGTTAAGGAATGGCTTTGAGTGAGAGAATCTATCTCAGAGTATAGTGCACTAATCCTAGTAAATGGTACTTCATTCAACTATTAGGTGCCAAAGATGTGCCAAGTAGTACGGGGAGGATCTAGACCAGGGTGATAACTGAGAAAACTGCCAGAGTAAAATTACTCTAAATGACATTGAAGGGAAACAAACTCAGGACATAATGACAGATTATTTATAGAGAATTGACAGAAATTCGCAGTTCAATTTAATCAAAGTTTATGGATCACCTAATGAGGGCAAAGCCATATTCTGGCTAGCACATAAGGGGTGGAGATGGTGCATAAGACTTGTATTTTTCCTTCAAAGGGCTTCCAGCCTGGTGTACTTAGCCCCTTCCTTTTAAGCCTAAACTTTATGGATTGCCCCGAGGCTGACACAGACTAGCTGATTTCCTCCAGTGAAGAGCTGTCTCTTTGCCCTCAGAGCTGTTCTGTCTCCTAGGAGCAGAGGCCAAAGCACCTCAACTTAATTAGTACAAAAAGACAGATCTGGTTTGGCAGCAAGGCAAAAGAGAGGTCCTAATAACTATCTCAGTGTATCAGCCTTGCAGACTGTCACTTGGATCCTAGTTTTGGAGAATGGAGTCCTTCTGGTCCCTTTCCACTTGTATGACCTGATGGGTCTCCCACTCTACCATTCCATACTGGAGAAAAGGCCCCACAGGGACTAGAAGAGAAAGAAGCTAAGTTTAAGAGAACAACTGGGGAAAAAAGAATTTGAAAATTGCCTACTGCCAGATAGCAAGGTCTGAGGAACATATGCAAATATAATGCAAATGACATGTAAATAGCCCTATGGCCTTCTAAAAGCTTTTATACAACTTGAAGGGCTCTTGAGAAACTGCTAACAGATAATAGTGATTCAGAGGTAGAGTGACTATTTCAAGAAACTTTGTCACACAGATCTTTTCTGCCCTGCTAGAGCAGTGTAGTCTTTAGTAATCTTTCCTCTCACTTGAACCAACCTCACCTTCTATAAATAAAAAAAATCACGTCTGCCTCTATAAAGGTTATCTAAGTTAATTACACATTTAAACACTCTGTGTACCTTTGATTTTTCTTCAAATGTCTCTCTCACCCAAATAAAGGCTCTAGTGGGTTATGAATGAAAGAGTTTCTCAGTTCTAGTTACTATGATCCTTAGGAGAATTTTTTTCCTACTCTACAGTAACTAACACATTTTCTTCTAATACCCACACACTGTATTCAAAGTTAATCCACAGGAGAAAAAAACCATACCTATGGTTGTGAAATCCAATTCACTTTCAAGGAACCACTGGAAAGCTATTCATCAGAAAACCTTCCCTGTCAAGTATGTTGCCTTTTTGACAATATTAACTAGGCATTTTAAAATAAAAAATACACATTTGATTACAACGGGATACAATTCTTTCTACATTTATGTATTTAAAAGAAGACGCCCCCAACAGATATGAATTTTGTAAGAACCATGAGATGACCTGAATAGTAAGTGCATCAAACCTACAGCTGGGCAGTTATTCTAGGTTACAGACCCAGGAGTTACAAAAGCAACTGACCTCCACATTAGTGATGGAAACAACGATGGCATAATCAGCCCCCCAAACTCCTTCACTTTCCTAGTAGTCTAAATTCGAGGATACTTCAGCTTTTGACAAGAGGGTCAAAGGAAGGGAAATCCCTTTTGTTTCCGATGCTTTTAAAATCTCACTTGACAGCGCCTCCAGAAAGCTACTGGGCTAAGAGGCATCTGGGCAGATGCCACGTTCAGTGGAAAACCCCGGACAGCGCAAAGACTCGGAATCCTAACACACGAGAGAGTGAAAGGCAGGGTGGGGGCTGGTAAGGAAACAGACAAAAGCAGGAGATAAATCTCAAGAGAGTGAAGAAACGACAGCACTTAGGGTAACAAAGAGATGAAGAATGGCCAGGAGTGCTGCTCCTGGTGCCTGGAGTCCCGGGAAGGGATGCGGGGCAGGGCCCGGCAGGCGGTGAGGTACCCTCCCCACCCCAACCTTTCTGCTGGGGCTACCTTACCTCCTGGGCGAGTTTCTGCTTGAGCACTAGCGCAGCACACAGGTAGCCCGCACGGCCCACAAACAACTCATCGGAGCCACACTCTAGGAAGGAGACTGGCGCGCAGACGGCGCACAGAGCCCGGAACTTGCCCAGAGGCTGCACGTAGTCAGACCGGCCCAGGGCGTGGTACACCAGCGTGGCCACAGCGTACACGCCCGCGCCCCCCAGCAGGAAGGCTGCGCGGGTGTCGGCATCCGGCTCGCCCCACTCCTCAGCACGAGCGCATGCATCTATGAGGCGCTTGGCAGAGCGCAGGTAGCGCTCTCGGGCCGCAGCAAAGAGCGGGCTCTGCGAGACATGGTAGAGCATGTAGGCCACCCCAGCGACGCCACCGTACAGTCCGCCTTGGCAGCTGCTGGTCACGGCCGCAGACCCCCGGGCCTCAGCGCCGCCCCCGAGCGGGGGCAGCTCCTTGAGGATTCGCTCGATAGTGGCGGTGACCAACGGAGCCACCGCGTCCTCACACTGGCCGGCCAGCAAGCTGCCCTGGTAGTCATCGAAGCGGTTGGGGAAGCAGCGCTTGGTGTCCATGCCTGTGCCCCCCAATGCCGAGCAGGGGTGCACTTAAGGGCGAGTCCTGTAGCCCCGAACACCACCTCTCGCCTTCTGCGGCGCTCGAAAAGCGGTAGATTCAGAGGGAATTGAGCAAAGAGGCTGAGACGTGAGGTGACAAGAGGAGGCGGGCGTGAGGAAGAAGCACGGACAGGATTGCCAAGTGGGCCACGCAGCTGCTGCGAAGCTACCAAATGGCCAGGACAAGCGCCGGATTTGTGTTTCTTCCGTCCCCCTCCCAGAGGCCGCGCCCCACCGAACAGCCCCCTCCTGCGCTGCCGCAGCTGGGCCGCCTTTCCAAGGGCCAAGGTGCTCTCTGGTAGGACCCAGGCGGAGTCTGGGCCACTCCTCCCGCCCCGCCCCTAGCTCCTCCCCTCCTGGCAGATGGCCCTGGAAGGGTGGGACACCGGTTTGGAAAGCTAAGGCTGGGCATAAGCACACCTGGCAGTGGAGGTGAAGACCTCCAGCACCTTGTCTGTTTACTCAGTGTGGTCCTGGAGTCAGCAAATCAGCACCACCTAGAAGTATGTTAACACTGCAACATCCCAGACTTTGCTCCAGACCTACTGAATCCAAATCAGCATATTAGTGAGCTCCCCAAGTGAATCGCATGCACATTACAGGTTTCACATGTCACTGAACTGGAGTACTAGTAAAAAAACTGAGCCTCTTCCTGAAGCTTGTTTTACTTCTTGGTCACTTGGTCATTTGGAGTTCTCATTCTCAATACTTCAACTCCAAAGGCTGAAAGGTTTGAGTACTTCACGTTTCATACATTGAAAAGGTTAATTGCCCAATAAGGAAACTGCTTCTTGGCCTTGGTTGTCTTGACGTTTTTCTTGAAGTACACAGAAGTAACAATTCAAAGAACCATGCCAAGTTAAGGTAATAGGGCAAGAGGGAGTGTTCCATCTTTCTCCTACTCTACAGACTGCTCCTCCCCATGTATGCATAGTAAGAGCTCAATAAATATCTGAGGTCGTTAACTATCATATAAAATTAATAAAGGGCAAATGGTGCGCGAGAGTTTCAAGTGGGCTTTTTACCCTTTTCTGCCTGTCCTGAGTTACCTCTTTCCCTCCTTTCCTTCCTTCCCATGTTTCTTCTCTTCTGCTTTCATTCTAAAGACATTATTGAGGGTCTCCTATGAGTCCTGGACTCTGGAAATAAGGGAATAAACAAAAACGACATGGCCCTAGACCTCTTGGAGCTTACACTCCAGTGAGAAAGGCAGAAAATGAACAATTACACAATGAGTGGCCTTTGTTTTGCTCTGCTGTTTTAAAACAATTCTCCTTTTCACTGCCCTGACTAGTGTGGCTCAGTTGATTACGTGTCATCTACCAAAGCAAAATGTCACTGGTTTGTTTCCTGGTCAGAACACATGCCTGGGTTGTGGGTTCGGTCCCCCATCCAAGCACATGTGAGGCAACCAATGAATATTTCTCCCCCTCTCCTCCCCCACTTCCCCTCTCTCTAAAAAATAAATAAATAAAAGGTTTTTTTAATAAAATAAAATAATTCTTCCTTTCCCAAAGTGTCAACTAGTAAAGGCCAGATGTCACCTTTTCTGGGGTATTTATTTATATTTTGATAGGGACTATGCAAGACACAAAAGAAGTGACTCATGTAAAAGTATGACACTTTGTGGGGAGACTTACTCAAAAGGTCAGTTTTGTTTGGAGGCAACTTTTTTCCTCCGAAGTGTTAAGTGTCACAATGATTTGGAAGCAGAGATTAAATAGCCTGCCCCTTCATCCTTGTTTGATGCATTCTGGAAAAGGAGCTCTCTTGGCCAAGATTACTGCCAGGACTGATATCCACACAGTGGGTAGTATGGCCTCCATCCTGCCATAACACTGCAAAAACAGGTTTATTTTTAATTATATTAAGCTAAGTCCACTTTTAGGCAGAGAGCTTGGTGTCATTTACTTCATTCCCAAGCAGTATTATTTATTTTAATGTCATGACTCCACTAGAAAACACTGTCCATGAGGGTCGAGCTTTTTGTTACATTTACTTACTGATAGCACCAAGAACCTAAAATAGTCCCCAGCGCATATAGTACGCATTCACTAAACGTTTGTGGAATAGTGAATGAATTGCCATAACAGCACCATTAGCAAGATGTCCTGGAGCGTAGAATGCAGAGTGAAGCCCTTATTGAAACTTTAACCTGACTTAATTAAATTCCCTGTTTTCCTGAATTCCTTTGTTCTTGTGAGTGCAAGAATATAAACATTCTGCAATTTCTGTCTCCTTACTTTGTTTCTGAATAAAGCCTGGTGACCTCTATACTTTACCTTGAATTCAGTGACTTCATACATTCTATTTTTAATAACTAACCCTGTATAGAAAATTATATTTTCCAAATATGGCCCTAATAATATCTCCTATGCCACATGCTCCTCTACAATGTGACCTTGACATTCTTCTCATCAGGGATAGGGTATATGTACACTCCTCTTGAATATGAGTGGGCTTATGTTTCCCTTATAAACAATGGAATGTGATGGAAATGACACACATGACATCCTAGGCTAGGTCATAAGGAATGATGAAGCTTCCATCTTACATGCAGAAATGCTCATATTTGGAGCCTTGAACCATCTTCTAAGACTCCGACCACCCTGAGGCTGCCAAATTGTGAGAAAGTTCAGGCAACATAAAGAGGTTATGTGCAGGTGCTTGGGTCAACAGCCCAGCTGACAGTACCAAATGGCAGCTCGGTGTGTGAACTACCTTGGATATGCAGCTCAGCTGAACTTTCAGATGACTGCAGCTCCATGAGAACTGCCATCCCAAGCCCTTCTACAATTCCTAACCCACGATATTACGAGCAAGATGAAATAGTTATATTAGGCCACAAAGTTTGGGGGTAATTTGTTATGTAGCAATGGTAACTGGAATATCCTGCAAGCTCCCCATCATTCAATACTATAGAAGTACCCTATAATCAATAGTGCTCAGTCAACAGGGCAATGAGTAGTTGGACAGAGGCATGTTTGGGGGGAATCTGCATGAGGAGACAGAAAATTGTGTTCCAAAGTAATAATTCTAGTTGGATTCTTTAGAGGTAACAGTGACCCCACAAGAAATATGCAACCTATACAAAATCTTGCCAGGGCCATTAATTTTGCCCTTATCTGCAAGATCTTTCCTGAGAGTTACAGAATCTGTAACAGCATTTGCTGACAGGCAGCTCCCTACACATGGTTTCTGTGATCTTGCTGAATTGCCCAGTTCATAGCTCTTCTTCAGTATTTCCTTATTGTGCAGATTATGAAAAACTATGGGCGAAAACTAGTTTTAAGTGGACTCATCAAGAAAATAACTTAAAATTATGCAAAACTATCCAAGAAAAAGTATTTAAACCAAAGGGTTCCTCTTATGCAAATCATTGCTATCTAAAGGTGAATATGAAAAAATAATAATTATAAAACTGTGAAACCTTAACACAAGGCTTAGTATGGGATAAACCATTTTAAAATACATTCAGAATACTTTGCACCCTAGAAATAGTTTAGATACCTTAACCAGTGCTATGTTCAGTCCCCAGAGTACATTCTCTTTGCAAATGCATCTCCGAAATATTAGCTTAGCAACGTAATTGGAGATTTCTCCTGCTTCAGCTCTTTTGCCCCAGTAGGCCCTTCTGAAAACAGCAGCCAGATTCATATAAGTCATACCCTGTCATCTGACTGATGTCAGTGTTTCACCTGTCCCTCAAAGTAAAATCCAGAGTTCCCAGGATGGCCTAAAAGTCCCACTGCCACCTGGCCTTGTTGGTTCTCCCACCTTGTATTCTTCCCCTTGCTCCTTCAGTTCCATCCATGCTTGCCACCTTGGTATTTCTTAAACATACTAGTTATAGTCTTAATCTGGAGTTTCCTTTGCAGTTTCCTATTCCTGGAATACTCTTCAAAAGATATACTCATGGCTTGCCCCTCACCTCTAGGTCATTGAAATCTTCCATGACTTATTATGTTAAATTACAATCTTTTCCCCAACCATTAGTATCTAATAACTATATATTTTTTACTGATGTATGTTATTTCTTGTTTGTCTCCATCCACTAGCATGTAATCCCCCATGAGTACAGGAGTTTCTGTCCCTGTTGTTCCCTACTTTATCCCCAGCATCTAGATTAATGCCTGGCATATAATATTTCTTCAAGAGATATTTATTGATGCTGTGATACCCATCACAATGTCAAAATTTCTACCATTTTCTAACCAATGGCTGAACTTTATTCTCTTATTTCTTGACTGGTTTCTTGATCATGCTCCTTTGCACAAGCAGCCATAAAAATGTGCATTTTAACATAGGATTTGTTTCTCTCTTTTGTCTCTTTTTCTCTACACCCAGTATTATCATTTTTAGCTATTATATTTCAAACATGATCACCAGTACACAATGCAATGGCAGAATTAGAAACCAGTGCAATAAGTGAACTAGCATTCATCACTCCATCTGAAAGAGGGACAAGTGAAGTTTGATCAATTACATTGGCCAAGATCATGTAATAAGGCACACCCCAACTTATTAGGTATGAGAAATATATATATCAATTAGAACTTTAGGTGGTACTATATAATATGTATATGGATATATGATTTCAATACAATATAATAAATATTGTATTTATTGCTGGGTGACAGCACTAAGAGATATGTCTCTATTTTATACTGATGAATCTGTGTAAAGTTATAAATTGGCAAGTAGAGATAGAGGCATTTCTTTGGTCTAAGTAAATTCTTTATTTTAAAAGTTATACCAGTTTCCTATGTGTTGTCATTTCTAAAGGTTTTTTTTTCCTTTTTTAATTGTTGTTCAAATACAGTTGCCTCCATTTTCCCCCCAACACTCCTCGCTACCCCAGCCATCTCCCTCACCTGATACCACCTCCCTTGGTTTTGCCCATGTGTCATTTATAGTTGTTCCTGAAAACCCTTCCTCATTTCCCCCCCTTTATCCCTTCACACCTCCCCTCTGGTTACTGTCAGTTTGTTCTTAATTTCCATGTCTCTGGTTATATTTTGCTGACTTGTTTGTTTTGTTGTTTAGATTCCACTTATAGGTGAGATCATATGGTATTCATCTTTCCCCGCCTGGCTTTCTTCACTTAGCATAATGCTCTTTATTTCCATCTATGCTGTCCAAAGGGTAGGAGATCCTTCTTTCTTT